AGTATAAGTACATAACCGATTAAAAAGATAGGGTAAGTGTCAAAGAGATTTCACAAATAAGACCAGTGTCTGCAAATAATGAAGGATAGAATTAAAAGTGAGAGAATGATCCAGCGGGGGAAGCAGGACATACAGCAGACTCATAGAATGGCAGATGTCCTAAACAGCACTCTGGCCTCAGAATAAACCCTTGGGGCATTCGGATCTGGCTAAAAGGCCCATAAGAGTCTCACAGGCATGGAAAGCCAAGACACTGTGGCAAAAACAACTGAAATGAAAGATCTTGGTGAACAAGATCCCAGCAGAAAGAACGGGCCCTCAAAGAAGGAGGCACATTTCTCTGAAGGGAAGAAGGAACCTCCACTGTGATAAGGCCTTGACTAAACAAGTTCAGAGTTGGTGAACTCAAGGGACTTCCATAGCCTTGACAGCTCATGGCAAGAGCCTCGGGTGATTACTGACATCATAAATAAGAGTGCCAATTGTTAAATCAACAACGGGAGTCACTGGGTACATGCTCCCCACGTAGGATCTCTGTCCTTAATGTGTTTTACTGTGAGAGTTAGCAAGAACACTACTAGTCCAGCAGTACTCTATATCTTGTGTGGTTGTGTGAGTGCAGTCTGTTGAAATCTTTGCTTAGTTTATACTAAGTTGATCTTCTGTATATAAAGATAATTGAAAATGAAACTCGATGAAGGGTGGGATGGGAGAGGGAGAGAGAGTGGGAGATGGGAGGGCCGCGGAAGGGAGGGAGGTTGGGGGGGAAAGCCACAACAATGCAAAAGTTGCACAATGTAAATTCACATTTATTAAATTAAAAAAAAGGGAAAAAAGTACATTTGGTAGACAAAGTGTGTGCCATTGTGACTACACAGCTGTGAGTTTCGTGGGGCATGCTAGGGTGGCTGATAGGGAAACTATCTACTTGCTGACAAACAGCTTCAAGACATTCTCAAATTTCTGAGTCTTGAAAGATACAATCAACACACAATGAATGAGTTTGGAGAGAAGTAGAGGGATGCAAGACAATGTTGTACAGGCCCAAACAGGAAAGAATAAGGAAGATTTGTTGGAATTAGTATGTATAAAACTAAATGGTATTTCACATCTAAAGAAAAATTAGGGCTGGCATTGTAGTGCAACAGGTTAAGCCACCACTGGCATCCCATATCAGACTGTTGATTCAAGTCCCAGCTGTTCTGCTTCTGATCCAGCTTCCTGCTAATGTACCTGGGAAGGCAGCAGATGGCGGCCCAAGTGCTTGAGTCCCTGCATTTCATGTGGGAGACTAAGATAGGGTTCCTGGCTCCTGGCTTTGGCTTCACCAAGACCTGGCTGTTGTGGCCATGTGAGCAGTGAATCAGCAGGTGGAAGATCTCTCTGTCTCGGTCTTCCTCTGCCATCCTGATTTTCATTTATTTTCTCCATTTTATTTTAGTTTTTTTAATAGATTCAATACACTTCATAGATATAATTCTAAGAATATAATATTTCCTTCCTCCCTCACTCTTTCACCCCCTCTACCTCCAACTCACCCATCCTTTTCTTCTTTTTTCTTCCTTTGTTCCTTCTTAAATTTTTGATAGCATATTTTTAATTTATACTACAGTCAAGGGCTTAATGCTCCATCAAATAAAAAATTTAACAATTCAAAAGCAAAAACGACCCTAGTTTAGTGACACCCTATATTTAAAGAGGTAAATAAATACATCTTAAAGATAAACTGTGGGGAGAGTCAGCAATGGAACTAAAATGAATCTGAGAGGGAGAACCAGCAACCTCACACTGATTCCAGAGGATAGGGCAAATTCAAGAGAGAGAGGTCTTGCTTTGAGCCATGGGGAGTTCATCAAGCTACTCTGCCTGTGGCCCATTTGCATACTCTGCATCACAAGCCACCTTCCTCCTCTGAGTCCTGGTGCTCCAAGTTCTTCCCAGATGGCTGTTTCAGCTTCCCCACTGCCACTGAGACAGTGAGAGAGCAACTTGACAAGGGGCTTGTGAATGTTCTAGTGCCTGAAAAGGGGTCTTTCCTATGTAAAAGGGAAGTTGACTTTTGTTTCATGAATTATCCTCATGATAAGAATAGCTATAAATATTGAGTGCTTGCTATATGCAGACATAATTATCTATGCATTTTATATGAAGGAATGCATTCAGTCTCCACTTGTACCCTTGGAGCCAGGTACTACTATTATTGCCTTTTACAGATGATGAAACTGAGTCACGGAGGGCAAAGAAGTCACAGTTCAGGAAGTGAGAGTCAGCATTCAAACCTAGATCTGCAGGGCCCAGGGCCCATAGATTCAAGTGTCCTGCTATGCTTGCTCTTGTGAATTCTCATGAAGTTGGCAACAAAAGTACACCAGCAAGACGGAAGCCCACACTTTCCTTACAAAGCCACAGGGGATCCCTGATTACATAAAGCCTCCAAGGATTTTTTTTTTCTCTTTAGGCCTATATTAATGTGGACGTCCAGGTAAAAACTCTATAATTCCTTTGAAAATATTAAATGCTGAGATTTACCATGAGGATTTGATTTCAGGTAAACAGAACAGTTTCTAAGTCCATACTTGAAAAATATCGATGTTAAGATTTATATTGAAAAATACAGGGAAGCAAAGTTGGGACAATATTTTACTTAGCTTAGAACGGCTTTCAAGATGTGGTTTATTCTAGAAGAGAAAGAAAAAAAGGTATGCTAACATTTTCTGAGTGTTAATGAAGTGTCTGCCATTGAGCTAAGCACCTTTTCACATGCACAACCCCATACAACAATCCCATAAAATAGTATCAATTCCACGTTTACAGATAAGAACTGATACTCAGTGAGGTTGTATATTTTGTTCAAGATCACAAGCTAATAATTAATAATCAATTTTAGAAATGTTTGATATTAATTTCTCACCCTCTCCAATGCAAATTTAAGTTCTATCTTCTATACTGCTAAGCAGAATTTCAGTGGGTACATTTGGAATAAATTGTAGTCATCTCTGAATTCCAGTTAGTCATTTTACCATCTATCTATTCATTAGTTTGTAAGCACCAAGCAGTAAAAAACTTCTACTGTTATTTATTGCCAAATGTCCTATAATACCTGGTAGAGGGTGTGCTCAGAACAGTAGCTGGTAAGCCATTTCATGTTGTGAGTGTTAAGTTCTGGCAGAGGTATGAATGAGAATCCCAAGTAAAGATGAAAATACAATCTTCAGGCACTATATGTGCTTTGGTTCATTACATTCAGCAGGACTGCTCGGCAGATTCACTGGCAGACCTTAATGTATCTCAGCAGCTGAAGCACAGGACACATCGCCCTAGACCCTGGGTGTGGTATTTGTGATCATAGTTCATTGTCAGCCTCTTTCTTCCCCTTCCCTGGTGCCTCTTTGGCTGCTTTCTCTCTCTTCTTGGCTTTGAACCTGTTGGCAGCCTACAATAGCTCCTCTTCAAAGAGCTTGAAGACAAGCCTGATGGTATAATTGCCTTGCTTAATTCCAGACAGGTTTCCATTAATCGTATTAATTTCGAGTGAACAAAGGGTATTTAGTCTGTGACAGAGTTGAACCATATCTGGATAAACATAAACATGAGAGTTAATCCCGTAAGAGACACTATTTGCCTGTAACTGGGAGGATGTCAGCAGTGCCCTTGTAAAGGCAGATTGGAGGATAGATGGCAGAAGATGTTTTACAGGATTGGTGGGGAGCATCTGGACTTTGTATAAAGAGGGGAATAAGGATTGCAACTGGAATACATTAGGGGAAAAGCAAATGGCTTATTCATAGAAAACAGGCATTAATAATCTCAGTCTTTAATCCACCCCAGGACCCCTTAGCTTGTCTTCTTCACTATTGACTTTCATCTTCCCTGCAAAGCAGTCAACTAAAGGTTCTTTCCCAGATCAGCCTTAGGTCATGGGGGCAGAAATATTGTTGCTAAACAGACATGCAAGGGAGTAGCACGTGTGACTGGAGTACAGTGTGACAACATAATCCCAGCATGGACAGATGAGGTCAGTGTGGGGTGATGCTGGCTTTTCTAACATCTATTGAATCATCTGATGGGAGCTGCAATTGAAAAGAATAAATACAAACACATGCAACATAGCACTGCAAGGAATGTATGGCCCAGCTCTGAGACAAAGGATCCTATTTTGGTAGGATCAGTGGGGAAGTGGAAAGAACAATGAGTTGGGAGCAGAGAGACCTCTGTTCCCTTCTCCCTACCACCAGCTGAGCAGCTGTGTGACCTTAGGTTACCTGGCCTCTGAGAAATGAGTGAACTTGTCCAGTTGGTACCTCTTCTTTTAGTTTCAAAGGCACAGATTTATCCTATGTGAAGAGGTTTTATAAAAATAATTTCTACAAGACCACAGCCCTGCAGATGTTGTACACTGAGTTGAAATATTCTTGAGTTGTCACGTATAGAATGTTTTGTTTACCCTCCATGGATAAAGGCCAAGTGTTGGCAGGTGAATTAAAGCCAGAGGTTGAAGTAAAGTAGAATCAGAGAAGTTCTGGGGAACAATTCTGCTCCAAGACATCACTGCAGAATTCCAACTGCCTGTGAGTCTTAAAGTCTTCTTTGCAACAGATGGGGAAGAAGAAATGACAGGATTTCAAAAGAGCACTTAATGATCATAGTTCACAATTCACGTTCTGCAATATGCTACTTTCTCGCACACATCATCTTTGCTCATGATGCTCATCTCTTTTTGCCTGGAGTATTTCTCTTAAGTTTTCTTCTCAAAATTCCCCACATCCCAATAAGACCTCCGAGATGGAATCAACAGTCTTTGCATATTCTTTGGTTATCAATTACAGCACTTCATTCTATCTTATACTATATTTCACTCCCATTATAACCATAATTCTAGATTATAAACTCCCTGGCAAGGCCAGGTTTCATTTATCTAAGTGTCCCTAGACCTGCCTGACAAATTAGAGGCATACACTCAATACATTCCTGAATTAACTGAACAGGGACTTTCAGGTTACCTGCTAATGTGACAGCAATGGAGACAGAGTCGTACCCCAAGGCATTTGTGGCATTGCAAGTGTAGAAACCCACATCAGCTTCCACTGGTGCGAGGATCTGCAGGGAATCATCTGGCTGGAGAAGAATCCTGGGGAGACAGAAAAGGAATGTTATAAACCCACCAAATCAGGTTTTTTTTTTTTCTTTCAGTTTTGGTAAGACAGGGAGGCATGTCAAGTGTCCATTTAGGACTCTGTTTTATCAATAAAGACCAACTAGAAGGTCATTCAGGAACCCAGGCTCTCTTGCCACTTTGATATGATTCTGGTTGCAATTCCAAAGGAGGAGGTTTTGATTACTGTTGAAGTTTGTTGATTACATGATCTAAGTTCTACCAGTTAAAGTAGACAACTTATATTCACTAAATATGACACACACACATCAGGGATGAGAGAGGGTATTAGAACATGTGGTGCAGAGAGATTTGGGGAAGGCTTATTAAGGAAAAGGCAAAGTTTAAAAGAAGTAGTTGGTTTTAGAGATGGTGTAAAGAAGGTAGGAGTTCTAGTTATGGAGTGAGAAAATTTTCAAGGTTTGGAGGTGAAGGAGATAAAGCCAGGGCTCAAATATTGATGAGAGGATTCTGATGTATATTTTGAAGGAAATTGAATGGATAACAATCTCTCAATTCTAGGTCCTTATACATACACTGTCTTCCTATAACTACTATGGGGCATAAGGCACAGGTCCCATTTATTGCTTCATTTCTCACAATACTACAGACAGCCCTTTGAAGAGAGTGCTGTGCATAATTAAGGTAAAATTTGCCTTTAAGGGTCACGAAGAGACAATTACAGAATAATCACTGTCTAGTTTAGCAACATTTATTTAGCTGAAAATAAGTGTGATGAGCTCCAAAACTCATTCCAATCTCAGCCTACTATTTTTTCTTTTCCATATTTGTGCTACTTTAGGAACTACCTGCTACATTAGGGCAGTGAAGCAGATTAGTGACTAATGATGGCTTGAAGGCTTAGTGAAGCTGGTGGTAAGCAGAATTTATCTGAGGAGGTGGAAATCCAGAAGGCTTGAAGGAGACAGGGTGGGAAGCTTTGAAAGCCAGTGGCTAGACCTGGCAGGGCCTTAGGTAGACACATCATGAAACAGTACAGCTACGATCTAGTGGCTGCTTTCAAATTCCCAGTGTTGCCCATTTTCATCTTTGTAATTAATTCTTCCTGCCTCCCTACTTTCAAACTGCTCAAAGAAGAGTTCATCCAATATCACATTAACATCTATGCCTAGGAGGCAAGCTCATAACAGGGTTGTTTTCAGGAAGCTGGGTGGGGCACACAAAGGTCAGGAGAACTCCTAAGTCTTGATGGTGAAATTAAGACTCAGAGTCAGATCTCTGTCCCAGCAACATTCTCCTACCTGATAATTCCATTCCTCTTCACTGTTTCCCTTGCCAAGTCTCTCCAAACTCTACGGCATCTGCAGTTTAGCACCACCTTTAGTCAGCTCTCAACTGTTCTGAGGTGGATGACCACCTGGCAATTAATTAGATCTCCTATGTGCTGCTTTTGGCATTAGGCCTATTGTGTGGTTTATTTTTACCCCTCACGAATGGCAGGAAATAGAAGTAAGGCTTACATCAATCAATCTGGTTATGTACGAGCAGTTCTAGTAAAACTGCAAAAGGAGAGAACACCTGAAATAAAGTGAAATTTTTGGATGATTTACCCTTGATTAGTCTCATTCCAGAAAATCACCACAATTACTACAACAGTCAAGCTTTTGTGGTACTGAGTAAGAGCTGAGGCTTGGTAAGGGCCAGAAAGAGAGACTGGGATAGAATTCATTCACACATTCATCTACCCATCAACACAGACATGTTTTCTCAAACAATACATGTGAATCTATTTCAAAGAAGATAATGAGGAAAAGATGATACAGTTTATTTATCTTTGATAAACCATACAGTATTCTAGCTAATGGTGTCATTGTTTTCTAAAGAAATCTTATTGAATGCAACAAAAGGCAGTATCACTGCTAAGTCTCTTTAGGTGTTCTAGCTGCATAGGTTAAAAAAATTAAAGTCTACTTTATGGTCTAAATCCCTATGACATCCCAGGAATATTAATGCCTCCAAAACAATTTCTAAGTAACAATAATGAAAGCAGGCCTAACCAAATTTTAATGGAACTGACAACTCTGGATAAATTACTTCAGATAAACTATTCAATTTTACCACATTGAAAATGTAGGGGTTAAAATGTGCTAAATTCCCAAACTAATTAGGATAGTTGCCTCCCTGAAACTGGCAATGACTCTTTTCCTTACAGAAAAGGATCTTGAAGACTCAGAGTAGGAGGAAACAAGACAGTTCTTCCAAACTTTACTATGGTCCTGCTGTGATTTAAATAATAGCCATTGGTAAGTCCTATCACTCTCCTACATTTCCATTTGTTGGCAATTCTGGACACCCTGGGTGGTGAATTAGATATGAGTGAAGAAAAGGGGGGGGAGGTTAGGAAATGTAAGGAAGGAATTGAGAGGGGTACATGATACTGGTGTTTCCTCCAAATTGTTAGATCTCCAAGTTTGGATTTTTTTTTTAACATAAAACTACTTCAATTGTTTGATTTCATGTAGAGAGTATAAGCTTTTCTCCCACTCTAGGTCTGAATCCCCGATTTTTTAAGGAAAGAGTTAAGTTTATAGCTCTAGGCACAGGCACTATTGAGTAAGCCATAATGTTTTCTGCCCAAGTCTGAAGCCTGCAAGATAATTCCCATAAGCTGGGAAAGACAAGGGTGGCAAAACATCACATTAGGCACAAAGCCACGAGAATTTCAACTAGGATCAGGGTAACAGAAATAGAAGGGAAGGAATGTAGCTCATGAGATTCAGCATTTGTATATATTTTCTTCTATAAACTGCGTATATAAAGACAAAGAAGCCATTACCTCAATGAAGGCAGTTAAAGACAAAATCTACATGGGACAATGCCTGAATTTGTCATTTTTTGCAGTATTTACATTTATGACTTTAGCTCAAAGACACATGGTTATTTGGAAGTACAGTAAGAATTTGAAATAGGCATTCTTGATCTTGGTTTAGTACTTTTTAAAAAATTCTATAATACCTCTGAGGCAACCACAACGTTCAACTGTTTAGTTATGCTTTCTTCTTATAATCAGAAAGTTTCCACAAGTATATCATATGTTTTGGCCAATTTGGATAGTCTAACCATTTGCCTAATAATCTATTAAGGAATAAATCCTTTTAGGGTCAGGGGAGGATATAATACCTACTGTTACTATTTTATAAGATGCTCTTATAAAATTGGTGGATGAGGTTTGGATACTGACACTAGGGGGCACAGTAGTTCTGAAGAGGGTTCCCCTGTGGGGCTCTCTAGGAAGCCTGAAGGGGCAGAGGAAGAGCTTAGCTGTAGAGACTGAGATTTGTTTCAGTCTTTCTATCTAGCCTGGCAACTAGGGAGAAAGGTTCCTGGAAAAAATACTTTGCTTGTGTTTCAGGCGTCTACTCTATTAATTTAACTTAATTTGTTAGTAGTTGATTTCTGTCAGATTGTATTTAGGTTTCAAATTTGACAGGCCTGTTTTAGAATATGCAGGCACAGAAATATAGTGCTGCTTTCCAAGCAAAACCAGAAAGATTTCTCTGGGGTTGTTTTGGAATTTAAGAAATCAGAAGATGAGGGGACAGTGAATGGGCACAATTAAGAATTACATAGCAAGTGGTACTGTGGTCACATTAGCTATATTAATGCTCTCTGTTTCTTCCCATACCCACATCCCACTTCCCTTTTGGTTTATGTGCTAAAACTCCTTGCTTTATTTCTTTCACCATACTTTTAGTCAGAAAGTAGAGAAGCAGCTTTGTTTTTGTGGGGCCTTTACTTACAAGCTTCTCTGTGACCGCATATCTTCTTACACATTCTACAAAAATTAAGTAAGGACAAGCCAAGAGACTACAAAAATGGTTTCCATTACCTGCGTACAAATCCTTGTCACACATGCAAGCCATGGACTAAATGCTCATGGGGCAGACCTACCAAGTACAACATCCTTAGGCTAAGCTATCTCCTATGCATTTGCAATGTACAGAGACAGAGTGTGTCAACTCAAAAAGGAGGCAGCTGTGGGCACTTCTGTGAGTGAAGCAGCATCATGATGTCTTCTCAATCCTTGGTTTGACTGTGAAGATTATTGTCTTGTGCAATTCTCTCTTTCAAACTGACCTCCATGATGAGCAATGAGAAAATACTGTGAGGAGAAGACTTCCTAAGTTGGAGTCAAGAACTGTGACTGCCAGCCTGGAATTGTGTTGTCATCTTGAGCAAGCCATTCAACTGTGTGAGCTCCTAAGTTCTTTTTGGAAACTGATGATACTATTGAATTCATAAAGGTCTTAAGGAGATCAAATAAAAGAGTCTACAGACTCATTTTTACTGGTTTTCAAGTAACAAGACATCATCTAAATGGTTAGATATAAATAATAAACTATATTTTTAATGGTATAGGTAATAGTAATGCAAGTAGTCTCTTTGGGATTTCTAGTTATCATAGAGAATTTATGGGCTTAGAAATGCCCATCTGTCCCATGGCCATGATAGTCTTCCATCTCAGATGTATAACTCTAACATGTCAGCATGTATAAACTCATGTTAGGTCTCAACACAGGATTAGAAAATGGAAATCGAGGCCGGGGCCGTGGCTCAATAGGCTAATCCTCCACCTAGCGGCGCCGGCACACCAGGTTCTAGTCCCAGTCAGAGCGCCAGATTCTTTCCCGGTTGCCCCTCTTCCAGGCCAGCTCTCTGCTGTGGCCAGGGAGTGCAGTGGAGGATGGCCCAAGTACTTGGGCCCTGCACCCCATGGGAGACCAGGAGAAGCACCTGGCTCCTGCCTTCGGATCGGCGTGGTGCACCGGCCACAGCGCACCAGCCGTGGCAGCCATTGGAGGGTGAACCAACGGCAAAAGGAAGACCTTTCTCTGTCTCTCTCACTATCCACTCTGTTAAAAAAAAAAAAAAAAGTGAGTGGGTCATGAGCTATGTACGTGTCTTTGGAAAAAAAAAAAAAGAAAATAGAAATCGAAGCATATCCTTTGTTTTTAGAATAGTGGCTTCCTCATTTTTGCAACAGTTGCCCCAAATCTCAAAACAAACTCATCGTTCCTACTAAGATGGTATCTTTTTTTATTTGACAGGTAGAGTTATAGACAGTGAGAGAGAGACAGAAAGGTCTTCCTTCCATTCTTTCACTCCTCTAATGGCCGCTATGGCCAGTGCTGCACTGATCTGAAGCCAGGAGCCGCGTGCTTCCTCCCCGTCTGCCACATGAGTGCAGGGACCCAAGCACTTGGGCCATCCTCCGCTGCCCTTCTGGGCCACAGCAGAAAGCTGGACTGGAAGAGCAGCAACTGGGACTAGAACCCGGGGTGCTGACACCACAGGTGGAGGATTAGCCAAGTGAGCCACGGCGCCAGCCCGGTATCTTTTACTCTACTTGCCATTAGCCTGGGGCTGAAGACAATTTCTTCTTCCTCTCCTGTCTGCCCTTCCCAGTTATCCCCATCGATAAAGAATGAATCCAGGTTCTATTCCCTTGTGCTGCCACAGACTACAAGAATCCCTTGCTTGACTTGATCAGCCCTTGTCCTGACTATTGAGGAACAGCTTACTATTTTATTCTTTTTAGTATATTCTTTTTCTACTTAATACCATTGGTTGAACTCTTTACTTAACATAGAATTATTCTTGTGTTTAAATACAATTCAAAATTGATCCCTGTTAAAAATAAGAGTGGGAATAAGAGAGGGAGGACATGTACAGTTCAGTACATGTTCCCTTGGACTTACCCATAAGGGTAAAGCTAAAAACTTGCCATGGGACTCCAAATCTCATTAAGTTGGCAGGTACCAATGCCATCTTACTAAAGTGATCAGTTTAAGCTCATAACTGATCATAAAGATAGGAATAAATGACAAAGAGAACAGATGAATAAGACCAACTGTGTGCTAATAATAGAATTAAAAAGGAGAGAATGATCCAACATGGGAAGCAGGCCACACAGCAGACTTGCAGAATGACAAATGCCCTAAATAGCACTCTGGCCTCAGAATCAGCCCTTAGGCATTCAAATCTTGCTGGAAAGCCCATGAGAGCATTTCAGGCATGGAAAGCCAAGACTGTGGCCAAAAATGACCTACATGAAAGATGTCTGTGAGACCTTGGTGGAAAGAGGGCCATCAAAGGAGGAGGTACCTTTCTCTGAAGGGAGGAGAGACTTCCATTTTGAGTATGGCTCTGTCTAAATAATGTCAGAGTTTGTGGACTCAAGAGGCTTCCATAGTCTTGGCAGCTCATGACAAGAGACTCCTTGAGTTATCACAGACTTCAGAAATAAGAGTGTCAATTGTTAAATCAATAACAGGAATCACTATGCACTTGCTCCCCAGTAGGACCCCTGTACTTAATGAGTTTACTATGAGAATTAATGGTAATACTAGTCTTCAAACAGTACTTTATATGTTGTGTGTCTCTGTGGATACAAACTGTTGAAATCTTTACTTAATTAGAGTTGAAAGATAATTAAAAATGAATCTTAATGAACAATGGGATGGGAGAGGGAGTAGGAGGTAGGATGGTTTGCGGGTGGGATGGTGGTTAAGGGGGAAAAACCATTATAATCCAAAAGTTGTACTTTCAAAAATTATATTTATTAAATAAAAGCTTTCTATAAAATAAAAAGAATCCTTTGCTTTCTTGAACTTCCAGTTGTTTTAAGCGATATGAGAAACCCGTTACAGAGTCTCATTTCCTCATTCCTCATTTCTTCATTTCCTCAGTTTGATCATAAATTATTACCATAAGGGTGGGAACTCCTACTTCTTTCATGGTTCCCTCTTCAGTATTCAGCATAGTGCTGGCATGATGAATAAATACCTAATAAACATACGTTCAGTTACCTTCAAAGCAATGGGGCTGGAAGTGATCATGTCCACAATATGGCACAGTGGATGGGGAATCAGACCACAGATTCCAGAGCCCTACTGACTCAGTTCCAACCCAGCCCTATGACTTAGTCCCCTTGTAGCCTTGGGCAATAATTTATTTAATTTCTCAGTGACAAAGTCTCCTCATCTATAAAATGACAACTATATAATATATCCCTGGGGTTGTTGTGAGGCTTCTATATGAGTTAATGCATTTAAAGCTCATAGAGAAGTGCCTAGCATATGTTAAAAATCATAGAAGTGAAGAGATGTGCAATTCGGGACATGCTCAAGCTGACTTACCTCAAACGGTAGAGTTAGAAACATACCAGGGGATTCCAATTCAATCCCATCAAGGTGGCATGTACCAATGCCATCTCACTAGTCCCAGTGATCAATTTCTGTTCACAATTGATCATAATGATAGGACTAAGAACCAAAGGGATCACAGAAACAAGAATAGTGTCTGCAAATACTAGCTGATAGAATCAAAAAGGGAAAGAATGATCCAACATGGGAAGTGAGATACACAGCAGACTCATAGAATGGCAGATGTCCTAAACAGCACTCTCGCCTCAGAATCAGCCCTTAAGGCATGTGGATCCGGCTGAAAAGCCCATGAGAGTATTTCAGGCATGGAAAGCCAAGACACTCTGG